CTCTGCGATCTGCTGTGAGGAAGCAGCTTTTAGAGCCAACCGAGAATAAGTATTTGTTGTCAAAAGTTACATTTAGTATTCCCTAAAGTTTTGTTCTATGACTTGCTAACAGCACTTGTATTAATATGATTGTGTTTCCCAGATTAGTTTGGATGATGGGCAGATAAAGAAGGGACAAGGTACCAGGACACAGCAGCTCTTTCCTACGATCTCCAAGGGGATGGTCCTGAGGTGCTAAATAAAAACTAATAAACCTGTGCACACAATATGCACACAACACACAAATCAACACATTTACATTTGCAGAGTAAACTAAAGCTTCTGCTGGCAGCTCCAGAGGAGTTTATTATTGGCTGCGTGCTGCAGAGAGATAACCGAACGATGAGAGATTTTAAATGAGCCTCGAGAAAATTAGAAATTGAGGGCGAGAGTGCTGGTAGTAATGAAATGGTACTGAGAGAGAGAGGGAGAGGAGGAGGAGGAGAAGGGATGAATGGGGCAGAAGAGAGTCGAGGGAAGCATAGAGGGAAAATGAAAAAGGCCAGAGAGCTGCATTTTAGAAATAGAAATGGTGTGCTGCGTTTACAGTGACAGAAGGAAAGAAGAGAGGGAGGCAGAAATGGGCCCGATAAGATGTAGCACATACACATGCATGCTTACTGGACTATCATCCATAATACAGAAAACATTTTATCGGTGCTACTTGCATGTTTATTGGTCTGATCGGCTTCCCGCTGCAGCCTATTTAGCACTCAGCAGTCTAGCACACTGCGACGTTAAGTGCTGGCTTTAAGCTTCATTTTAGGGTTTCACATCTGTCTCTTTTTTGTAAACACCCGCCCAGCCCCCAATTTTAGCACAACACAGCAGGATAAAGTTACTTACCATACATAACAGGCAACCAAGGACAAACACTAACAAGAAAACAACCATAGCCAAGGTTAAACAAGGAGGTTGATTTGTTACAGTGATGGATGTTTTTTCTTGATAGGATTGGCCACTGCTATCTTATTGACAACCTTCGTTTTTGACTGATTGCTCGTGTTTTTTGCCCTGTAGGACTTATTTTTAACAATGTTGCTTATCCACAGATCTCATCCCAGATCTTACAGCGACATAGCCCTGAGTATGCCCTGATCTCAGAGGCTTATGATGAGGTCGGCCATGTTCAGTACTTGGATGGGATACTGGAAGCTTAGTGAGTACAATCTTATTATTGCAGATAAAGAAAAAGGCTCATAACTACTGAAATGTGTCCTTTTTGTAATAAATAATAGTATCCCTTTAAATATTAAGGTAGTATATCCTAGTTTCAAATGCCTTTTGGGAGAGTGTCTATAAATAGGGATTCAGTTCCCACACTGTGGATCGGATGTGGATTTAAACACTCCTTGGTTGCCTCTTTTACAGTAATTAAACGTTATTAAGTATAATCCAGTACTGTACTTGATTACCATTTGGAGGTACTTCTACACTACTTAAATATTTTACAAACAAAACATCTGATTCGTTTATAAAGTGTGATACTCTGCAATAGTTGGAACCATCCAACAGGATGTTAAGTAGTTCAAATGTGCCCCACTTCCACCAACATTTTGAAAACCTTTTTAGAATTTTGGATTCAATTAATGATTTGTACTTGTAACAAAGCATTTGTACATAGCAACTTAGATGCAAGTACTTGCAGTTTTAGTGGTTAAGACAGTAATCCACGCCTTTGTCACCACTCGGCTGGATTACTGTAACTCTCTCTACATGGGGGTCAGTGGGTCCTCCCTCGCTCGTCTGCAGCGGGTGCAAAATGCCGCAGCAAGGCTTTTAACTGGCACACGGAAATATGACCACATTTCCCCCATTTTGGCTTCGCTCCACTGGCTGCCAATACATTTTAGGATTCATTTCAAAATCCTTTTATTTACTTTTAAATCCCTAAATGGCATGACCCCGCCATATCTTTCTGAGCTGCTACACGCCCAACCGCCCTCTCAGGTCAGCGGATCAACTGCTCCTGAATGTGCCCAGAACCAAGTCAAAGCTCAGAGGGGGCCGTTGCTTCTCTGTAGCGGCTCCCACACTGTGGAACGATCTGCCCCTGCACATCAGACAGGCCTCCACACTGCCTTTTTTAAAATCGCTTCTTAAAACCCACCTCTTCTCCTTAGCGTATTCACATCTTTTAGAGCGTTGCTTTTATTGCTTTTAAATTGTCTATTGTTTTTACTTGTACTTGTTTTATGGTGTGTGAGCTGAGCTGTGTTACTTTTTGTATGTTTTGTTTTGTTTATTTGCCTGTACAGCACTTTGGTCTGGAGGTTTCACGTGCTCTATAAATAAAGCTGTATTGTATTGTATTGTATTGTTAACAGGAAAAACTTCAAATTAAAGAGTATAATCACTTCGACTAGTCATTTTATCATTTCCCAAATCTGGACTACAGAGCCAACACAACAAAACAATGTGTGACTGCCAAAACACTAACAGACTGTTTCCAGAGCGACTGGTGTGACTCCAGGCAAACAATGAAAGCCGAAACAAGGTACAGTGAGAAGTTTCCTATTCCACTCTGCATCTGTGTTGTTTTAGTTTAAAACAATGAAACATTGTGGACTGCATCGCCTCACAGCTCATATGTTAATACCATTTGTATTCAGCCTTCCAGGATGTGTTTACTGGAAAATTAAAATGTGTGTGCCGTTATTCTACATGTCTCTTTACTGTAGATGCGATGGCAGTGTGTATTAACTGCTGTCATAGTGTGAGTCTACTTCAAAGCGACCCATTCTGTGGTAGAGAGCTGATTTGACCTTCTACTGTATTCATCTACACCTCACACAACCAACAGACACCTCACACACTAGCTCACACAAATACGTTTTTAGCACTTCAAAGTACATGCATACAATCTGCTACCTCACACCGACAGTGGAGACCAACCCACACATACGGTTACCAACCCCATTATTGTCAATCCTGAGCACACACAAACAAGTAATATATAGAAAAATTGCCTCGCCTCCAGATATTGTTATTTGACAAACAGACGGAAAGAAATGAAAAGTGTGTGCATGACTGAATGTGCTAAAGGGACAGATATACTGTAGAGGGAGAAGAGGAAATGTGCCCCTGATATACAGTAAAGTAAAGTGAGCATAAATACTGGGCTGAAGATCAAATGTACATACAAATCACAATTTAAATCTCAATTATGGCCAGAAAAATTACGGCTAAATATTCTCCTTACTTTATTAAGCCCATACAATGTTGTCTTCACCTAAACCCGTCATATCCAATGGCTATAAAGGCTCTCTTGTTTTTGTAAAGCACTTAAAGTTGTCACTTATACTAGAAAAGCTGCCAAATTGACCATAAATCAATTACACTCATTTCACATTCACAACTCCCTGTGAGCCTCAAAACACTATTATTCTTAGCATTTCGTTTGCCTTTGAATACATCACAAATGAAACTCTCAGGAGTCTAGTGGCAGACGGCTCGGAGGTGTCCATTTTGTTTGTTTGTTTTTTTAAGCAGTTCAGTAGAGATTTATCAGGAGCCCCCGCTGAGAGGGACAAAACCCGCCCAACCGCCCAGGCTCACAGTCTGCCATGGCTTCATGCATAATGTATGACTAATCCCCTACTGGCCTGACAGAGAAAGGAGGACTGCAGCGGGTGAGAAAGATGGGAGACAGCAGCAGGGAGAAGGGAGAGTTCAGGTAATGCAGCTGGGGGTCGAGGGTGAGGAGGAATAGAATGCTATCAGCGAGTTTGGGTCATTTACATCTCCTTGGCCAATGGCCATTATGCAAAGGCACATACTGTAGAGGAAGATATTTTACACGGAGAGGGAAAAACAGACCTACTGTCTCTGCACACATTTGCACCACAAACATTAAGAATTATAGCAGATAATGTTAAAGGGACATTTTATGTGCCTTCTCTGTTTTACCATAGGAACTATTGTCTTTTTACGGAACTACACCACCACATCGTATCACTGCACAGAGACAAAGCGTGCATCTACGTATTTAGGAAAGGCTCCTTCTCAATCGTTGGTGGATGTAGTTTGATAGAAAGAAAGTAATTCCTACATGAAACCGCTCACAACAAGGTCTGTGGATTATCCTATGTTACTGGTTTGTGATTTAAGGAAATAGACATTGCTTTTTTTTTAATGTATTCTTGGCGCTTTTTGAACCACAAGCAAAGTGCCATGCAGATTTATAACATTACAGTGAAGGCAGGGATCTATAGGGTTGATATATCCAGCACTAGGCAACTCACACCATAACAATGGATGAATAACACTAGGGGTTATAGGAAAAACATATTTTGGCAGTGATAGTCCATGTAAGCTGCTGCCCTACTACCTTCTGTGTCAAACCCACTATCTATATTCCCTATAGAATAAGGTAGGTTAAATGAAAATCTGAGACAGCAATTGCTATTAGCTTAGTCGCTACATTCAAGTCAACAGAACATATCTGAACCTAGCTCACCCTCTTTGCCTTCCCACAAACCCAAGACATACAACAGGTATACTGAATACTATAAACCACACCCACGTAACAATTGCCAAATGTGTGCTGTGTAAGCAATAATGATGATGATAAAAACAATACACACAGGCTAACTAAGCTTTTTGGTTCCTACAATTAGTATAAGTCATACCTACAAAAACAACACCCCCCAAAACGTTTGGGGGTTAACTTTGACCACCTATGAGTATTATGTGAGGATAAAAGTAATGAGATTCCTTATCAGTTCGTAGGTATTGTTGTTGCTACTGGCAAGACACAATCCTTTTTCTCTAAAGTTCTGCAAGAGACAGAAAAAAGTTTTCCTCTATGTCCCTTCCAGGAATCCCTACAGTACTCTAGGGCAATAATGATTCATTTGAATAAAAAACAAGAAATGACAGAGCATGAATTAGGAAAGACAGGAGCTGGAAAGCAGAAATAAAAAGCAGACAGGCATAAGGAGGAGAAAGCGTATACTTACTGAGCACGTAGAGGGAGAGAGCGAGGCCCGCCAAGCAGAAACCCTCAAAGAAGCGCAAGGTGCTGAACATGGTGACGTTTACAGAGAAGGCAACACTCACACCAAACCCCAGCATGAAAAGCACCGAGATAATCAACACCGGGTGTCGACCAAACCTTAGAAACAGAGAGAAGCAAGAAAAAGACAGATGCAGCAAAGTGTTTCAAATCTGTCACAAACTGAGAAGAAAAGAAGCTTTTATTGTGAAAGCGATCATCCCCCTCATTGTTAGCTTCAGATGCTGCAGACATCCTGCTTCAAGGGGGGTCAGTAGGTCAATGGGTCAGGTCAGAGCTGAGGCCTGCACATTTCTTTACATTGTTTCCATGGTTACTGATCCCAATCACAATGCAAGGCCTTTTTTTCCCACGAGGCATCTCGGGGGGTTCACAGGCCTTCAGACAGGGCCCCAATAAATCGTGCCTTGAAGGGTCAGATCATTAAATGAAAAATAAACATATTTTTTCACCTAGACATATGCGGATAGATTGGGTTTTGATTATACATGTGTAGCGATTTCGTTTTTGGTGCTCCAATTTAAAAACAAATGATTTGGTAGCAACATGTCTAAAGACAATATTCTGGTAACTCTTGGATGTTTCTTTCATACATTTTTCTAACAAATAAATGTTTCCTGTTGATAGTGACAACTTTTGAGAAGACAAATTGATAAGGAAGATTTTAATAAGTAAGGGAAAGAAGGTTTAGTATAAGAATACACTTTTTTGCATGAGGTCTATTGTTGCTATTGACATTTTGTGGCCACACTAGTAGCAACATTACGTGTCTTTAGGGGTGGCACTGTAAGTCAGCCAATCCATCCACACTGTCAACCAAAATCAGTCGGTTTGCCATTACATTTGGTTCAGATATTCAGGGTCCCAAGAGGAAAACTCCTTTGTTGATCTCTTGACATTTCCTCTACAACCATCAGCAGCTTCAGTTAAATATATCCACATCTACAAAAAATATTGGCACAAAACGTTTCAGTTAAGAGTTAAATGTCTCAGTAACAATTGTTAAGATCTTTAGGAACTTCATGTCCGCCAGAGGATAAATCAAAATGACTGATGTTTCCATGATTTTAAATCTAGCACCACTATCATCAGGTAGAGGTTTCAATTTGACTAATACCTTCTTTGATGAACAAACACTTGCTAAACTGATGACAATATGGTGAACATGGAAAACCTGTTAGCACTGTTATTGTTAGAATGCTAATGTTAGCATTTAGCTCTACGGACCACTGTAGCAAAAGACAGCATCACAGACAAGCTAGGGTTGTTAAATGTTGGTATAGCGCATAACAAAACTTCATTCACCACCATTGTTTTGTTATGAAATTATTAATCTAAAATGTCAAAACCTACGTAAATATAACAAGCTATCTGCAAGGGCGATAAATACCAGTAAATGTAAGTGACTTTAGTTTCCTTCTGTAATTCAGTTGAATGGGTGTTTTAAGGTTAACTATCAGAAGCTGTATAGAGGCACAAAAAATACATAAAAGGGCAGCTTACCAGTCAGCCATGACACCCATCACTAGGTAGCCAAATATGGAGCCCACCAGCAAAGAGAACTTGGCAATGTGCACCTTCCAGGCTGAGTCACACACCAGGTTCCACTGAAACAAGAGACAAACGCAGAGAGAGAGGAACGTTAGGCAACTTTTCAGAGAAAACCGCCCACAACCTGATAAAAGGGAATTAAACATCACCATCGGAGCACAGGAAAACAAATAAATGTGGGCTTTTCTCTTTCGAGTCTGTCAAACTCTCTGACTCAGTGTTTTCATAATTCATGAATGTTGATAAGTGTGCAAACGTGCTGCTTTTGGAATATTCAAATGTCTATCTTGAAATAAAGAAGCAAGCGCGTGAGAGGGAGAAAGAGCAGCTGGTTTGTGAATGTGGGCGCATGTCTATAATAACACAAATCAATGGCTTTAAAGCCATTGATTTGTGTTATTATAGCCATTGCTCTTGCCTTTAAAGCACATGGGTCAGTGAACACACCGCCACAGTTCTCAGGCTCTGAAACTCAGCCAGGGACACATGTGGAAGCACGATGTGTGCTCCATGTTTACGACCCCGAGAGCATCAGTAAGAGCACAGCAGAGCGATTCAGCTGTGTGTAAAATAGTGTTGGTGTTTAACAGGGAGTTACACAACTCCAGCTGAGCTTCCCACTGAGCAGGGGAGCAAAGGAGGAGATGATTATTGGATATGACTGATGGTTTTTGTTGTGAAATGGCCGGTGGTGATGTGGAGAACTCAGCCAGTATGGGTTTATTAAGTACGGGCTATTAGCACCAGTGTTATCTGAGACAACAGATAGCAGTCATGCACACAGACTGCGTGATCACTCAACAACTCTCTGTAGAATAGTCACCTAAAGTGATGACCATAACATTTTTTATCTTTAAACATAGGCCTACTGTGTTCTTAAAAAGTTGATATCTTACACTTGTGCTAGTATTTGTTTACAGGTTGTTTATAATTGCTTGCTTCTGTAACTATCGAGGGCTCTTATCGATGCTTTACAACAGTTGAACAACGTAGTAACGCCATTCACCCCCTGTATCCTGTTTCAGTTTGTTTAGGAGTGGAGTAAAGGCACATGGAAAGAATGCACAAAAGCACAGCTGCATTTAACAACAGTAGATAACAACAGTGCAAGTTGTAATATTTACAAAATGTCTATTTCATTAAAGTGACTATTAATATTTGGAAACATTGGTCAGCAGGGCATCAATGTCATGTTATTGATAGTCTACAGGCGAGTACTGCACCCCCTCAACCCAGGAGCGCTGCTACGTTCTGTTTAAAGATTAAGAAATACAAGTAAATTGACCATAACAGACCTGCATGTACTCTATTTTAAACAAACTATTTATCAGGAATCCTATTTTTTTTTAAGAGGATAATGGAATCAGCATTGGTAAAATCTCATCAAATCCCCTTCGTTTACAAGCCGATGGAAAGATGAACCTGCTAGGGCTTCAGGGGGCTTCCACTCTACAACTTATATGCCACATTAGCAAACATTTGAAATAATAAAGGTTTATAAACTGGATGTTGACACAGGGACCCTTTTTAAAACATGAATTTACTTTGGTTATAGGGCATGAAGACCCTTATTATGTCAGTGCTTTAGTGTGGGGAATTCCCAATACACTCAGTTATTTAACACAAACCAGCTAAATTTGGAGCTATCGGAGTTCCTGGAGTTCTGAGCAAAGATGCACTGATCCTTAGATTGGTATATTGGCCACATTAAAGATGGTTCCTTTTTCAATGCCATTATAAATGTCAGTTTTTTTTACTAACACTCACTTAGTCAATAAAGAAAACACATCGTATTAAAAGCTGTATCGGTCTACTGCTGGTTCTCTGGCTGTGGACAGTCGCCCACCTTGCCAAATTGCTAATCCAGCCTTGCACAATTTAAGTGCTATGTGTAATGTAATGCGTACAAATGTAACCCTGTGCATTGCACTTAACAGGAGTTGGATCTCTACGTGTATTTTGGTTATAGTTTCCCATATTGTGATGTGGAAATGTTGAAAATAGTGTAACGTGATACTAATTTCAACCAAATCACCCAGCCAAAAATATACACACACACACACACACACACACACACACACACACACTGAGGTCAGTGGGTAACTTGTCAATAAGCTGTTGGTGCATCAGCCTCTGCTGTGAACTGAGTGGCAGTGATGAAGATGATGATGAAGAGCAGAGAGCTGTCTTCTCTGCCAGATTTCACTGTGGCTCTATCTCAGTCGTTACCTTGGTAACCACATTCTGACTAAGTCCCGTCTGCAGCTCGAGCCTCCACTCCTTGCACGCGCACAGCATACCGTTGCTGTCGCCCAGTCCCCCCCCGGTGCCGTTGCCTTTGAGTTGCCACGCGGGCGCGCCACCGGGAACGGTGACCGGCGGGGGTCCCGCGGTCCAGTTGGTCTCGTTGGTGAGGGGTTGCAAGCACGTGCCATGGGGCTGAGCCAGGAGGAAATAATCCGAAAACTGGCTAAAGCCGATGAACAATGCCGGGATCCAGGTCAGGACCACGAGCTGCTTCTGATGCTTCCCGAAGCCCCCCAGGGACGGTAGCACCGAGCCGTCGATGTGCGGCAGCAGCCGGGGCACCGGGTGCTCTAGCGGGGTGAAGCCGTTCTCGGGCGGGTGGTCCTGCGCCTCCAGCCGGCCGGCTGCCATCACGGCCCGGCCACAAAGACAGCAGCTGTGCGCAACAGCGGGTGAAGCAAAGCCCCCGCTCTGCCGCCGTCCGCGCACTCTGCGTTAAGCCCTTTGACACAAAGGAAGCCCTCAGCGCAGATAAATCCTGTGTGTAGCCAACAAAAGCACGATCCAAAAATAGTAGGGTCTCCGATCCGTGCAGGCGTGCAGAGGCACCAAATCACCGAGCAGAGGTACTCATGGCAAGGGGGCTTGAAGCGACCAGGGGATGTCCGAGTGGAGAAGCGGTGTCAGGAGGAGAGGCTCCCACAGAGGAGAGGGCTCGGACAGGCATGCATGCTCACCAGCAAGGGCTTTGTATTCCATGAGTTCAGCTCCTAAAGCGGGATCCATCCATGTGCAGCTCAACTGGGCCAGGCCTGCTGGTTGTGTAGAAGTGGAATATGGAGCCACCCTTGGGTCCACTAAACATCTGCTGCTCCTTCTTCCACGAGCGCCACAGGTCTCATACCTGCCCAAACGGGGACCTCCTGGATGTGTGCATCACTTAGTTCCTCAAGTGCAGAATATCCGAGCTCCAAGTCATCCCCGGTCCACTGTAACGGTGCTGAGTCCAGAGACACGGTGGACTACGCTGCTCGGTGTGTCGCCGTCTTGTCAATGGAACAGGGTGCTGAAGAGGGGCTGGGAGAGGCAGGCAAGCCCCGCCCTCCCTCGGTCGCGCTATGCGCTGCGATTGGAGAGCTTTCAATGGGCGACTGCACCACTGACGGGCATCGGCAGGCAACAATGATCCCCTTTGTGCAGCCTCTGCCTACTCCACTTAATATTAAGCTTGTTATGATTCAGTCATTCACATCGACACAGGATGATTGAAGATCACATTTTAAAAGCAGGCATATTGCTGCGGATTTTATTTTACAAGGCGTTCGTGGTGATGCGTTTGTTGACCGTCCCACTGAGGTTTTGCGTCATATTTTCTTTCATAACCGTCATATAAATAGGCCTATTAGTTACTGGTTTGAGGAGACAGTAGGAGGATGTCAGTTATTTTGGATGTAGTGCCAACTGATAGCCGCAAGGGGGCGTCAAACGATTATAATAGACCCCCTTGTAATTGTGTTTGCCTTTATTATCAGATTACAGCATTAACCACACAGAAGATAAACCATAGGCCACACAGATGTTTGTTGAAGGTGCAGAAAAGCAAGCAAGTGAGATAAAAATGTCTTTAAACGGATATAAATATTGAGTGTAGTATTGGTGTTGTTGTGGCTGCAGCTGCTCCCAAAGGACTGAGGGAGAGTGACCTTGAAATGCAAGAGTGACACATTTTCCCCCTGCAGCCAAGTGTGTGTGTGCTGTGTGTTTGTTTGTGCATGTCTGTGTGTTTACCTGATAACAGTTTAATCCTGATGCCCCTGAATGACACATAGCTGGTTTAGGGGCTGACGGTGTAGCAGAGAGGTACATTTGTGCTCATCTCTCATCTCCTTCCTCATTGTCCTCGGAGATTAATTAGGGTTTGACATGTAGGAGGAACATGCTGTGCTTGTGTGTGTCATCTGTTACTGGTTCAACCACACCCAATCTATTGCACATACCAGAGCTGGCTCAGGAACTCTTAGGGCTTCAAACAGAATGTGACCCCCCTCCAAACAAAAACACAAAATAAGTTAAATAAAAGCTAATTCAATTAGGCGTAAATAAACAGAATTTCCATGCTGGCAATCCTTCATTTTAATTAGTGAATGGTAATTTAACTAATACATCAAAAATAAACATGATTTATTGATGGTTAGTTGCTTCACATAGCTGTCTAATTGTTCCAAATCTTGGAAAAAACATGCTTATTGGCTTTCTTTCCAATAGTTAGATGTGAAGATAAAAACATTTCCTGCTGATCGTTTTATCCCCATTAGGAACATTTAATTGTAGGGTTTGGCACAAATTAACTGTTAATAGTCACTCATTAAATGTAGACTCTGCAGAGAGATAAATAAACTGTTGTCAATTAAGAATTAATTACAGCCTTAATCCTCAGCCAAGCGTTACAACTGAAATGGACCTTATGGTTTTAATATAGAGAAACAAGTGCAATC